ACCGCTCGGCAGTGGGTTCACGCAGGCGCAGTTCTCCCGACGACGCCCCGGTTAGACGCATGCGCACTGAGTGATAAGCCGAGGTCCCGCTACTCAATAAAAAATTCGCTATTTCCATTGAACCTACCTGAGTAGCTTTTATTTAAGTGCTTAATTTTTGGGGAGGAAAACTAGTGTCTGGCTCTCGGTAGTCGAGGAAAGGAAGGATAAAGGTATCGCTCCTTTTCTTCAGGGCTCGCACTGGTGCGGGTGTCTTATACTACGAGTCCCATGAAGCCCTGCGCCTACACTGCCTCTCGTCAAAGGCTCCCGGCATCGCGGAGCATCACGGACGTTGTAGTTCGGGCGGTGTTCACGGCCTTGGGGGCGGGCGCAGACACAACATGCGTGGGAGGCGACAGGTCGCGGCGGCAGCGACAGGTGGCAATGGGGGTTGGATGACATCGTAAAGAGTTTCCCGATTCTTATTCTAAGGGGAGGGGATATCGTTCCCGCAGACTTCATCTCCTGCTCCTCCTCTCTCTTCTTGGGTTCTCCGACCCCATAAAGGCGGGGCATGAAGCCCCTGGGTTGGGGGCGCTGTGCTGCCCCTCCTCCGGCGATGATGTCACTCCCCCTACGCAGCCTTTTGCTGCCCAGAGCTGGGTCACCCCTCCCCCCATCGCCAGCCCCGGATTCCCCCATCCCCGCCCCGCCTCGACTTGGGGTGAGTACAGAGACGGGTAGAAGGCTCAGGGAACAGGGGCGGTGAGACAGTCCAAATCCTAGTTGTGGAGGCGGGGGACTCGGGAGACGGGGACTCAGAAATTACAGCGGAGAGATTCCCCCTCAGTAACGATCTTTTTTGGGGGGGGGCGCAAGGTATTTGGAGGGTCTCAGGGGACCAAGGATCGTGGGCAGAGTCCCCACATTTTCAGCTTAGTATCCGGGAGACCTTCTTTCCTGGATTTGGAACCGACAGGAATGGGGAGAAGGAACAATATCCTAGAAGTCCCCCAATTCCAGGGCTTTGGGGAACGGGGAAGGGAGAGTTAGGAAGGGACGCAGAGGATGACAGGTGGGAGTTTGGGAGCGTTCAGGAATGTTGTGCCTTGAGGACCTGGGAAAGGATGGTTTGGGAAGGAGAAGGGGTGGGGAAACGATCTAAGGACGCGGACAGACATGGGCCTGCCCCAACCTGATGCCAGGGGCCAGAAATCAAGTCCACTTGCACTGGTCTCCTACCCGAGCCCTCATTATGCCTCCATAAGCCCCCCCCCCCACACTCACTCCGGCCCTGCGTGGGTGGAAAATCCGAGCTCACAAATCCCCCACATACTCCGGTGGGGCCTGGGGTGAGCCATGAGGGAGTGACGGCATCCAATTTCCCAGGGCCTGATGGAGCCTGGACCACCCGGTTACTCCTGGCCCGAGGCCCCCTCCCGCCTCTCATGGTCTCTATTCCAGGGTCTGGTGCCATACTCTCCCCTATCCAGCCCCCCACCCCCACCCCAGCCCGCACCTTCTCACACACCTGACCTTTGCAAAAAACGCTGATTTGGTAATTTGATCCCCTGCCTAGCTGCTGTCAAAAGCAGAAAATAAAAGTAGCATTGGGGTGGGGGGAGGAGGGAAGGATAAGGGTGGATAGCTGACTAAGGTCCTTACCCTGGCCCCTACCCCCAGCCCCTAGTGCCTACCAGACCCCCTGACTTGCCCAGAGCCTCATTCAACTCAAGCCCAATCCCTCACGTCAGGATTCACTGCTTTTGCCCGGGGCAGAGAGGAGTCGGAAGCCCCGATGTCTTTTCTCTGCCCTCCTGGGTCCCGGCGGGGTCTTCAAGACTCGAGGGTATGGAATCAGGGGCAGTGGGGATCCCAGGGTCTGCGTGGTGAGGGGAGCTACCTCTCTGGTCTGCAGGACAAGCCCCACTTCTGCAACTCCCTGCAGTGACGCAGCCTGGTGTCCTGGCCAGGATGGGGGTTAGAGGGGGTGATGGGGTGGGGGTGGGGGAGCCTGAAAGAAATGACCAGAGGTCCAGAGACAGGGACAGAGACTGAAGGACAGCGGGACCGCGTCCCAAAGAAGTGCGGGCAAAGAGAAGGGGACAGAGACTCCGAGGCGGGGGGGTGAAAAGACCTGGGAGGGGGGCAATAGAGACCAGTGGATGGGGACAGCCAGGAAGAGAAAGGGCAGAAAGAGAAAAGGCAGTGGGGGAGTGCGGAGACAGAGGAGGGGGAAAAGACACAGGGAGGGAGGCCAGATGGCAAGGGTAATGGGGACAGACCCAGATGAATGGACAGAGACCCAGAGAGTGGGAGAAGAAAGCCTGGGGTCGGGGGCAGTGTAGGACAGAGAAACACAGAGGAGGGACAGAGGCCCGGGAGTGGGGGACAGGGGCCCAGAGAGAAGGGCAAATCCCCGAGGAAAAGGTATAAAGACCAACAGAAAGAGACCGGGGTTGGAAATACCGAGACACGGCGGTGGGAGAGGACACTGAGGCTTAGAAGAGGGGCAAAGACTCAGAAGGAGGGGGGCACATTCAGAAAGCAATGGACAGCGACCCAGAGGGAGGGAGACTTAGAAGTGTGAGTGCAAAAAAAAAAAGAAAAAAAAAAGAAGTAGGAGTGCAAAGACGGGAGGACAAATATTTAGAGAAAGGGGCTCAAAAGAGACGCAGAA